AAAAAAAAAAAAAAAAAAGTAGTCCAGCATGGTGGTACATGCTGTAGTCCCAGCTACTTGGGAAGCTGAGACAGGAGGATCACTTGAGCCCAGGAGTTCAAGGTTACAGTGAGCCATAATCACACCACTGCACTACAGCCTGGGCAACAGAGCCAGACCCTGTTTCTAACCAAAAAAAAAAAAGTCATTGTCATTAAAGGCACAAAGCAGGGGCACTGTACCAGATTAAAAGAGACCAAAGTAAAATGGCAATAAAATGCAATTTGTGATTCTTTATTCTAGAAAAAATAAAAATACCTACAGAATGCTACATAATGTGATTACGTAGGAGAATGTCCTTGCTCTTAGCAGATATTTGCTGAAGTATTAATGGTGATATGCCATGATGTCTACAACTAACTCTTGAAAGGTTCAGCAAAAATAAATACATAAATTAGACAGACAGAGAGAAAACACCAGAGCAAAAAGTAGCACAAAAATAAGGCAACACAGCCGGGCACAATGTCTCATGCCTGTAATCCTAGCACTTTGAGAGGCTAAAGTGGGAGAATTGCTTGAGCCCAGGAGCTCAAGACCAGCCTAGGCAACACAGTGAGACCCTGTCTCTACAAAAAAATCAAAAAATTAGCCAGGCGTGGTGGCGCGCACCTGTAGTTCCAGCTACTTGGAAGGCTGAAGCGGAAGGATCGCCAGAGCCCAGCAGGTCAAGGCTGCGGTGGCCGGGAGCAGTCACTGCACTCCAGTCTGGGCAAAAGTGAGACTCCAACTCAAAAAAAAAAAAAAAAAAGGTAACAGTGTATTTAAGCGAAGGAAAGATTTCTAAATATTCAATGTGCTGTTCTTGCAACTTGCCTGTACATCTGAAAATTTTTGAACCATGAGAAGAAAAAAGGAATACAATACAAAGTATGCATAGTATATAAATGTACACTATAAGTAAGTGTATTTTTGTAGACCTTGTATTCTAACTGCAGCTTTGTAGTACATTAATTGAAAAGATGAAGATTAAATAATAGCCAACAAAAAAATGAAAATGTCTCATAAAGGGTCCATGAGATGAATTATTTTATTTATTTAGTACTTATTTATTTCTGAGTTGGAGTCTCACTCTCTCTGTTGCCCAGGCTGGAGTGTACACTCAGGGCCACCACAGCCTTGACCTGCTGGGCTCCCGTGATCCTTCCGCCTCAGCTTTCCAAGTAGCTGAACTATGGGCGTGCGCTATCCTGCCCGGCTAATTTCTTTTTTTTTTTTTTGAGTTGGAGCCTCACTCTGTCGCCCAGCCTGGAGTGCAGTGGCAGCTCCCGGCCACCGCAACCTCGACCTGCTGGGCTCCGGCGATCCTTTCGCCTCAGCCTTCCAAGCAGCTGGAACTACAGGTGTGCGCTACCACGCCCGGCTAATTTTTGTGATTTATTGTAGAGATGAGGTCTCGCTGCCCAGGCGGGTCTCGAACCCGCGGGCTCAGGCGATCCGCTCACCTCAGCCTCCCAAAGGCGCGGGATGACAGGCTGAGCCACCGAGCCTGGCTACAATGCAAATTGAACATAACTACTCCTAACATCATTTAATCTTTTCCCAGCAAAGGAAGTCTGAATTTTTCTGCACCCCTGGCTCACAACCATAAACAATTATATCTGTACATTCTAGTTGGCTGCGTTTGAATTGTCAATAACTCACAAATGCAACCCACAGGTAAAACAGATCCTAGAATAACTCATTTCCCAACTTCGAAGTAACTGTTGTGGATTTCATTAAAAGGCTGCTTCAAAGTTACTATAAAAATGGTTTCTCTAAAAACACTTCTACCTCATCCAAAAAATAAAGTCAAATGAAATACGCAGCCCAGCTTTCCTCTCAATTGTACACTAACCCGATGCCATTAAAAGGGCTACATCACGGCCGAAGGTTCAAGAACAGAAGGTCAGGTACAATCCAATATTTAAAAAAAAAAAAATCATACTCCGCTCCCCAAATTCCAACCTAACAACCACGCAACAAAATATGCCTGAGCGAGACTCGGGTCGCCGCTCCGAGACCCCGAAGTTCCCAGACCAACCCTGAACCCCTCGAGCTTCTCTGGGGGCGCCTGCTGCATACAGCGGGGCGGGGGGTCTCGGGGTCCACATGCGGCGCCGCCCCCCGACCTGCCGAGCCGCGGCAGAAAAGTGACGACTCCCGGCCGCTCCCGCTGCCCAGGACCCTCAATCCTCGCAGCCTCTGCAGCTTCCGCCACTCGCTCTCTCATTCCCTCCCCTCCCCTCGCCGGCCCAACTCACTCTTCATCCTGGACGCAGAAGCCGGCGACAACCCTTGCCGACACTAAGGCGGAAAGGAAAGAGGCAAAAAGGTTGGACCCCCGCCTTCTGCTTCCCTCGGGCGGGGTCCTGCACTAGGACCTCCGCTGTGGTCCCTCCATGGAGAGCGTTAGCATCCGGCCGCCATGTTGTGTCTCTGTCACCCTAGCAACCGTGGGGCCCCGGATGCCCGAGGCTGTGGTCTGCGCCTGCGCAAAACATCCCGCCCGTCTACGCATGCGCCTTGCAGCCTGTGCCCTCTGCCGGGTCGCTGAGCAACCTCTCGCTTTTTAAAAGTTTTGAGTTGGAGTCTCACTCCGTCACCCAGACTGGAGTGCAGTGGCCGCTCTCGGCCATCGCAGCCTCGACCTGCTGGGCT